ACAATAGTCAATATAAGCTCCAGCTTAAATATCCATCAACAGATGAATGAATAAAGAAAATGTGGTATATATACACAGTGGAGTTTTATTTATCCATAAAAAATGTAATTATGTCATTTTCAGGAAAACACAGAAGCTGACAGCATTATGTTAAGCAAAATAAGAAACTCAGAAAGTCAAGGGACATTGTCTCCTGCTATCTGTAGATGTTATAAAAAACAAAAAGGAAAAAAATCTATAGGAGATCTCATTATAATTGATGGAAGTCAGTGGAGAAGACAACAAAAAACAAAGGAGAGTTTAGAGGCGAGGAAAAGGAGAAGTACTAGGGAATAATACTGACCAAATTATACTGTTAAATCATGTGCAAGTCTAAATGCAAAACAAAGATACTACTATATGTGTAATTTTAATGTACCAAAAATGGGGGAAAATAAACATCTTCACATACTCATTAAAACAAAAATGAAATACTTAAAAAACTTTATCCTTAATTTATGATCTTCACAAAATTGTTGAAAATGATGCTTACTTTAAATTTAGCATTGCTTTTGCATTGGGGGTGGTGAAAATCCCCACAATAATTGTGGTGAAACCCCCACAATTATAAGGAGAATCAAATTGTGTGACCATTTTAAACATTTAGTTGGCTCTTGTTGTATTTTTTATTATCTCAGAATTGTCTTATTAACAATATCCAGGGCATTTCAAGAGCCAAAAGAGACCCATTTTAAAGCAGAATTCTATACAAGATGTGGGAGAAGTGAAGTGACAAAATACACTACTGAGTAGGGGCAAAGACCAGTGTCAAAGCTTGATGATAAGTAGAACAGAAGGTTTGGTGCTCAAGTACTCACTACTTCAAATGCCACTGGGGGCACTTTAGCAAGGACATAGACACTGGCCTTAAACTCATGCATTTTATTACTTCATTGTCTACCTGGAAATATCAATGCTCTTCTTTGAACAAGGATCTCTTCTCATACCATTTGGACTCAGTAAATTCCAAAATTTCCTCCAGCTCCATGACTCTACAACTTGGTTTATATGTGTCTGTTCATTGCAGGGCACAACCATAATAACATCATTGACATCTGTGCTGCATGACAGCAAAGAATTCCTCAACCCAAAGAAGTTTGACCCTGGCCATTTCCTGGATGAGAGTGGCAAATTCAAGAAGAGTGACTACTTCATGCCTTTCTCAACAGGTAATAGAAATGTATTTCCATTGCTGCTTCAGGGGATAAAAAATCTTAATGGGATGAGTTAAACTGCTTATTTGTGGGCTGGTAGAAATGTTCTTTGCACATGATCAGGAACAAAACTCCCAGTGCCCACATACTGTGCAATACCAGGCTATAGCATCATTACTGGGTCTGATTACTGGGGTTTGGGGGGAAAATTGACCTAGATCTTCCAAATTAATAAAGCTAAGTGAGAGTGGATTGGTTCATGCCTCAAAATACAACACTGAACTCCCAGAACCCTTCTTAGATGATTAAATTCATCTCCACTGTCCTCATCTGCCCAGCAAAAAGTATCTAACTCCACAACCTTGCAAAGTATCTTCCATGTGGTGCCTCTCATTCCTCTGCTGAGCTCTGCAGATGGTAAGTATCCACAGCACAGAATGGGCCATCAAAACCATCCCACACCCAGTTAGCTAAGCAGATGAATAAATAGATTGTTGTAATCCAATATGACTAGTCCCTGTGGGAGAGAGAAGAAAGGTTCAGCTGGACATGGTGGTAGAGGAAGAAAATGCCTCCTGCCTGTTCTCTCATACCACACAGTAAGGCATAAAATGGATTGAGTGACATTCAAATGGAAGAAAGGACATTAGAACTGCCTCAGAAGAGGCAAAGGAAAAGGACTGAAGAGAGGCAGGCATTTTAAGGGAAACAATGAACCATAGTACCAGGATACTTGCTCTTCATGGAGGATGCCAGAGTTTTGTGACTGGTAAATGATGATCAGCAAACCTTGGGAGTAGGGTAGATTATCCTTTAAGAACACCAGAGCATCTTGATCTCCCTACAACTAGTTCCTCCTTGGAATACAGGGTCCTTCACACATGAAGAGCATGCTGAGTCTCTGGCATACAATTACCTAAATTTATTCTTTGGCTCTTCAGGCTTGCTAGTAGGTCTAGCAAGAACTGAGCCCTACCCTTAATGGAACTCTTATTTCAGGAGGCTAGAAAAATAGTAATAATTCAAATAATCTATGCTTC